CAAAATGGGCTTGTTATTTTCTTATGCATTATTCCAACCTCCCACTTGGCAGTAATTGAGCCAAGAGTTCACTAATACCCTCAAATAGGCGTCAATCTATCACTTCAATTGCTAGTCCGATCAAATGAATATCTGAAAAAAAACACAGCCTCATTATTATCACGGATTTAACTACAACTACTTTAATCCCATAAGTAGTATGATTCCAATTTCGCTAATTAGAACGTCCAACTATCCTTCTTTCTACACCCATTGTTAATTTAGTAACATCACATATGCCATTTGTCAACTTATGGCAATTTTCTAGCTCCTTAGCCATACACGCGGCCAATTTATGAGGAAATAAATTACTTCTTGAATTCGACGAGCCTTCAACTGAGCCCAACTTGGTGATGTGTGTGATCTAACAGCCAAATTTCGTGGTTCCCCACACAATTTGCAGTTAAAAGTAGATACAGCTGGTAGTATGGGGCCTTTTCGCATCTCTGCTCACGGGACTGTTGGTGCTGCAAGCAAATCCTGCTTTCCATTCGAGCATCGGCTACGAAATTGAGGAATGTACAAGAATGCCCCACTGAGGACTATCGCGTCTCGGCGATCTGCTTTGATTGGTGACAAATAAATGAAGATTTGCTTCTGTCTCAACAACTGCTTTAAGCACTTTGGGCACTTGAAGGACTGAAATCTCACCTTCCAAAGCACCAATTCTCGTTTATTACACACAAACCTGAAGACAACCACTCAGTTCAGAGTTCACGGCCTCTGCAGACGTCTTCGTGATAGGCTTGCCATTCGATGTCTGCACCACTTTTCCGCATAATTAAACCCAACCAGGACGGCAACTAACCCCATTCGTTGTTGGTTTTTTGGTTTTATTTGTGTTGGTCACTGTCCTAGCCCTTGGGGATACCCATACATGACCATCAATTCAAGGTTTTCGATAGCACTCTGAGTCTTTTCAGGAAACGGTCGGTAAAATTTTCGAGTTCTTCCTCATCCTCACTGTTTGGCAAGCTTTGGAAAGAACTTGTTATGCGGTAAACTCGGCTGTTGGTTTGGACAGATTCAACACTTTTTCGCACAATTTACTTCTCAGCGTCTTGTCTCTTCTCGAATCTCATACTTAAACTCGTAACTTTATTATCATTTGTTGACGTAACTTGCTGAAATTGTTTCTAACTTAAATAAGTCATCCAAGCAACAAGGATCAGACAATCAATGTAGTATGCTGTTTTATTCTTATTTAAAATGTAATGTTATGCTATTTTCCTTATTTATGCACTTTACCTAATCTCAATGTTATACGCGTATGCAGTAAATTAAAATGAATAACTAACCCGTCACACTTTTCAGTTCGTTCGAGAAAGCGAATGCGAGCCATTCGCAAATTGACCGAATCGGATACCGTAGGAGGGTTGCCATGGCCTGTTGTCTATCCAATTGTGCTATTACCCTAACCCTTGCCCAACCCTCCTTCGGTATCCAATGGGACCAATTTATGAATCCCTTCCACCCGCCTTCTAGAGCAACAATGTGCTAAGGGATTCTTCGAAAATTGAAAAAAGGATAACTACATCTCATACAATTTAAAGAGGTCCTGACCGATTGCAAACATGCAACCAGTTACACGTCACTCGGGAATAGCTCATCAACAAAACCAGACGTGTGTCCGACCTTGTGTATGTAGAAAGGGGGAGATGGGGGTCATCAAACGTTGATGGCCGAAAACAGACGTTACTTTTTGCTGTCCTCGTTACTTTAAACCATAACTGCAGGTTTATTACATAAGCGAACACAAACAGGCACATACGCATACACATACAGAGACAGACAGACACACTCACAGGTAACCGTTACTAACCAAAATCACTTTATACCTCTTCAAAGAGGTCCGACATAGAATTTATATAAAAGGTATTCAGCCTATTTCGTTCAAGATGATGAAGAACTTGTAGTAGAATTTTCCCACAATAATATGAAGGAAGGAAGGCCTTAAATAGAAACAGAATGAATACATTTTATGTGACTGATTTACTGGTTGTCTCGACACTCTAATCAAATACAAAATAAGTAACACAGTCGCTTGTTATTGCAAAAATACATTTACCTTATAGACAACCCCACAAAAGAATGATTTGACAAAATTCACATTCCTTGAAATTCACATTGGCCACTTGTGGCAATGTGGCCGAGTGGTTAACGTGTCAAGCTCCCATTCTGCACTGTCACGGTTCGAGTCCCGCTGTGGGTGTTGAGAAGACCGAGGCGAGGTAGAAACTGCAGTCAACTGGTGCCTGAATGAGAACAACTTTTGTGAAAGCAAGACAATGTAAAATTGAATGGAAGCGTCAGCTCTGCTCAACTGATTGTTGGAAAATTCTACTACCAGTCTTTCATCACTTTAAACGAAATTGGGTGAATACATTTCATACTACTGATTTACTGTTAGTCTCGAAACTCTATTCAAATACGAAAGTATAATTTATATATACAGCTTTTTACGGATGTGCCGGGCAGTTTTCTTGACTCGTTGGCTTGCATTTTAGTTGTGACGATGGTACCTCGATCTGATGATGTTCGTAATGTGACGAGGCGAGATCTAAACTGTGATCCTGTCCGAATGTGCAAGCTTTTAGGGGGGCAAGGCCAGATGAATTTCGACATCGCGGCGCCAACTCTGAGTCATTGTAGGATAATCACACTTTCAGTGACCGAAAACAGACGTCACTTTTTGCTGTCCCAATTACTTTGAGCCATCACTTCAGGTTTCGTGAATAAGCGAACACAAACAGGCACATACAAATACAGAGACAGACACACTCACATGCAACGAAGTTGGTATGTGACCGTAACTAACCAAATCACTTTATACTTGATCAAAGAGGCCAGATGTAGAGTAGCTATACCACTTTTTGGGGATTTGCCGGTGAGTTTTCTTGACTTGTCAACTTGAATTTTGTTGTGACGATGATAACTCGCTCTGATGATCTTCGTCAATTGACGGACGAAAGGTTAGCACCTTTTCACGGGAATCGAACGAGCTTATACTTCAGAGACAGCGTCAGCATGAATGTTCCGGTAAAGCCAATCGACAGCTGGTCAAGAGGAATCGGCCGTCGTCTTCTGGTGGAACCGAAATGAAAGTCAGCTCAACAATTATGTAAAAAAAGATTCCTCGAAACCCAACTTGTCTTCGCATAATAAAAATGAGACTTGAAGAAGTCGGGATCAACGAAAACTGTGCATATTGCAAATAAACACTTTCACTCGAAATGAAAGTCAGCTCAACAATTATGAAAAAAAAGATTCCTCGAAACCCAACTTGTCTTCGCATAATAAAAATGAGAATTGAAGAAGTCGGGATCAACGAAAACTGTGCATATTGCAAATAAACACTTTCACTCGAAATGGAAGTCAGCTCAACAATTTTGGAAGAAAAGATTCCTCAAAACCCAACTTTTCTTCGTATAAAGCTTAATCAGATCGAACTAACTGGAAAACAATCGCGAACTGATTTGATCAACCACCTCCAGAGTTGATGTTTAATAAAGATACTAATGATGCTGCTGGTGATGTTTATGACGATAATAGCAGGGCTAGTGGTGATACTAATAGCAATGAGGATGCTGATGGTGATGGTGGTGGTGGTGGTGATGATGATGATGATGAAAATACTCTTAATCGTCTATTTCCTGAACCTGGCAACACAGACAGTCGATAATGGAGGAAACAAGTGAAAATGGAGCACGAAAAATCTACTCATCATCTTCGAGAGGAAGTGACGAAGAAGAGTTAGCACAACACCTCCGTGACGTCATCTGGCGACACCAAAATAGGCAGAATGTATTCCCTAAAATACAACCTAACGGGTTGAATTGGCCACGCTTAACGTCGGTGAAATGTGCGGCTGTCTGAGATGAGATAAACTGACAAGTGGGCACTGATTAGTAGTCGGTTGGAGCTAGAGCGTCCTGGCCAGCGACTGACCAACAGACCAAACGACTGACTGACTGACCGACCGATTAACCGACAGACTGACAAACCAAGCGACCGATAGATCGAAAGAAAGACCGACAGGCCGATATGTAGACCTACAGCAGACAGACCGATAGACAAACCGACAAATACATACAGACAGACCGACAAACTGACACACCAACAGACCAACAAACTGACACACCAACAGACCGACAGACAGGCAGACAGATATACATACAGACAACAGACGCAGATCGACAGACCAGCATATGGACTGACAGACCGACCGACCGAAAGATCGAAAGACAGACCGACATACCGACATATAGACCTACAGCAGACAGACCA